AATTCCCTCTACAGAGTGTAAAAGAACTATCATCTGTTCCAATTACAATTGGATTACGGCGCGTGAAAAAAAATGTGAATTGCTCCCGAAATTCATTTCACTTGATTTGACCAACTCTATCAATTCATTGCATTTAATGACTGTCGTTACCATATCAACGGGTAATTATTGTGCGAAATAAATGTTTTTTTTCTCACAGATATAAACATATGGATCACTTATGACAGTTATTCTTCCGTCCCGCCAAGTCAATCTTTTGCTATCTAGTGCTTCAAGCACTCAATTGGTGTGTTTGTATTATTTTCATTTATGCTCAGTATATATACTTGCATTCAGCTTACCAGTGCGATACCAGCTGTGTGCGATTTTTGTCATCCGAATCATCCGAATCATCATCATCATCCGAGTCATCATCATCATCATCATCATTATCATCATCATCATCATCACCATCAACAACGACAACAAGAACAAGAACAACAGCGGAGGCAGCAGGAGCAACATCAACGACAACCTAGACAGATCATAATTGCACATTCGTTTCCAGTTATCCGGACACCAATGATTCCAACCGGTTCGTTTGCCATAATCACAGCGGAATGTGTTTTGTTTCAAAGCTCAAAGGTTGCGACGATCTTTTGATCGAATTTGGATCGAAATCAATGAAAATAAACGGCTTCAAAACTAGCGTTCTTTGAACTGCCATAAGCAACCTAGTTGTTCAAGCAGCTTATTTTTTCTTCTCACGGATACGTGTAAAAGGGATGCGTGTAACGTTTCGGTCCGGTTGAACGAAAATTTGTATCACTAGCTTTGCGGATCACGTGAACACACTGACGTAATTTCAGTGATTGAGAATAAGTTGATTGTTGCTTTATTCACATAGACTAAAATAAATGAATTTGATTACATTAATCTCGAAGCTTGAGTGATAGTACGTAAGTTTTTAATGTGATTAAAAGTTAACCCCGTGATTGGAAATACTGATTCAGTGATAGACTTGGGACAAGGGCTAAGATAACTGAACTGAGTACGCCATTTGGACGACAGAGGTCATGTTTCTATATATTCATCAAAAGTCAATAACTATTGACTGTGGAAAATCAAACTGAGCCATGGTAGATTTCAGTTTCGTAATTTTTCCTCAATCCATGTATATCTGCTGGAAGAAAAATGTATTCTACTCTCCGATTGCATTCTTAGCTTTCACAATATCAAAACGAACTGTAAAATTAGTTCAACAAAAAGTAAATAAAATCAGCTCCATTCATGATACCGAATAAGTGGCACTACATTTGTATCCACCTCGTCAGTCAGTCAGTCAGTCGGTCAGTCAGTCAGCTGCAGTCAGTCAGCTGCAGTCAGTCAGTCAGTCAGTATATCGTTTCATCTTGATGTGTTCCGCTTGTTCCATTCATTGCCAGCCTTGTTTTTTAGTGTCGAGACTGAGACCAGTTTACGTCATTCGCAAACGTCAAGTCGTTCTCTCACGAGTGTCTCAGTGTATCTTTGTAACGGTGTCTACTCAACCCACCAATCGGAAACAATTTTCCTATCTTCGGCTCTTATTGTTGTGAATATTGTTGTTGCTGCTGTTCAAATTGATATTGAATTCACTGACAGCTTCGTTTTGTTGATCTTCTTGTGGCCATTCCCAAGAGAGATCGGTTTGTATGGAAATCCTTCAGTATAAGCGTGGTGAACGACATATCCAGGTTTGTGCGGGGGAGGGGGATGAGTGGCTCACATTTTAAATTATCAAATCGTTTTCAGTGTGTACGTATGTATGTATGTATGTATGTATGTATGTATGTATGTATGTATGTATGTATGTATGTATGTCAGTGTATGTATGTATGTATGTATGTATGTATGTATGTATGTATGTATGTATGTATGTATGTCTGTATGTATGTATGTATGTATGTATGTATGTATGTATGTATGTATGTATGTATGTATGTAAGTAAGTATGTATGTATATATGTATGTATGTATGTATGCATGTGTGCATGTATTTGAATGAATTTATTTGTAGCATCAGATGGATATTACTAGAGAGATTGTTGTTTGCCACTGAAGACTTATTTTTCGACAGGCACCAAATTCAAGCTCATTCCTAATTCGTATGTTTCCCTTCCGCTGACTGCGACTTCAAATTCATCCGATAGGTGGATTGAAAATAATATAAAATGCGGATAGCCGGTGAGTTTCGTCGCTAGAAAATTCCTGAAGTGAAATTGAATCGGGTGCCGTGCCTCGTGTCATATATTGTGAGTAAATACTTAAAAATCAACGGTGTTTCTGTCTTAATTCTCTCTATTTTACTCCGGTGCCTCTGGATTTTCTAAACATTTCTCATATATTCAGTCAGATTTTGCTTCTCACATTCAAACAATGAAAATATGTAACGACCAATTCATCTATAGTCGGCACTAAGGGACCGATGATCAGCTCCCGGTCACTCACATCGAATCACTGATTTGTTCTCAAATCGAGTATTGCTTTTGGTATCGATGGCACTACTTCTAATGTTGCTGTTTCGGTCTCGGTGCGATTAACCAATCGAACTGGCCTGGGCGGGAGTTTTTGAGTGATTCTTCTGGGCACAGCCAGCATTTTTTACAGCTGATAAGATTCTTCTCTTCTCCTGAAACAGCATCCACTTTGTAGTCTTGATCAGCAATCAAAACGGATCAGATTTTCAGTTCGAATCTGATAAAAATCAATCTATGGTACTCCTTGGTGGTTTGTGGAAACGTTGCGATGGAATACAACAGCAAAATGACTTACCCTGAAGCCCCGAACACTAGTCCAAGACAAATGAGATGGACGACGAACGGCATTTCGCATAGGCTTTGGGTCAAAAAAGGAGCACCCTGTTACACTGTAGAACAAATCACGTACAAGTCTATCTGATCATCCATATATATGCGTTCACAGTTCGTGAATAGTATTCATTTGAATGTCATTTCTGGTAGTAGTCGGTCGTTTGTGACAAGTGGAAGACATGCAATGAAGGATATTTGGCAATCTAAGCATGAGTCACTGTGTGATCTCATTTAACTCAAAAGATAAAGATGTCTTTCCTGGTACGAGATCTACACATAGAAGGAGTGTAAAAATACCTGTGACCTGAATGCACGGAGGTCCGAAGCGGTTCCTCGGATGACCGACTAACACATCCCAAATACACGATCCACTAAGCCCATTCGTGTGAAATACAATTCTGCAATCCTGTGAGGAGGAATGAAGCAATAAATGGGCTACAAATGATAAACGGAAGGATGACAGTCTGGAGATCAAAGAAATACAGCGGTACAGAGACGGTGGTGCGGATTCGCTGTACGATTCGGTAAGCAATCTGGTCTGATTGGAACAGTTGTGTAGCTGAATTCAGTTATAGAATAAAATAATACCTATCTTCCGGACTCAGAGGTATCACGGAACGCCCGGTTATTCACGACCTGCTGACCCGTTTTATCCCAGTTCCACCGAACACGGTACAGATTGACTAAAAATTANAAGAAAAAAATCTCAGCTAATCTGAAAATCACAAATTCAAGGTCTGCGCTGAACAGAGTGCTAGCAAACTGTCGGGAATGCACGCGTTTCTCAAGGTTATCACTCCATGCAACAGTCATGCTCCATCTAGTTTATTCTACATGCTCCATTATTATTTGTAGTCAAGAGACTACCCAATGAAAATTCAGCCCAATCCTCTATTTTCGTCGAGCAGTTGATGGGGCTTCAAATGTGCTCAAACTGGATTCGAGTAGCATGGATTATGGAAATTATTGCTCTTTCTATTGTTTTTTTTACGGGCACATCAATCGCATATCATTTATTCACTATACTATTCTAATAGCTTTTATTTTTGAATTCTGTCTCTATGAAAAGTCCTTTGATACACCCTATTCCACTCGTGTGTGATCGATCAAGGAGATTTTACATATACTTTACATATACTGATTAAACTGGTTGCATAATAAAATTAATTATTCGAAAAATTCCACTGATTCATTTACTGTCCTGAACGGAGATTGTACTTTTTCGGACAATCATTAGCCTGTGTCTAATCAAAATCGCCCAAACGATGAAAAATGACAGCATCAAATTAATCAGAGAATTAACATTGGGTGAATCATTTTTGGTTCATTCAAAAATCCGTGAATCGATGAAATAACAAATCAGTGAATTGATTCATTTGTTGATTGATTGGAGATTGGAGAGGTAATTTGGGAGAAGGGTCAAGTGTTCAACCAGCTGTGCCATTTGTGTCCACTCAGAATAACGAACAGAAATAGTCATATTTCAACATCAGAATATTGCATATTGATATTGAAACTTTTTCACCAATTTATTCATTCATCAATTTTTCTTATGACAATGAACAATGAATGTGTTGGACCAAATTGCCGAGAAATTAATCCCAAGTTTATCGTACCGATTGCTGAGGAGCGCTGATCAGTCATTGTTATTGACCTTCATTTGATCTCTTTAAATATATAAATAAATATATATATGGTCTTGGTAGAATATTTGATAATAAGTAGTATGTGAATAACTGGACAAAATTCCCCTGGAAGCACACGACCGGTTTCATGGTTCTTGACACTCATCAGGCATACATGTCGTATGCTTCTAGGGAAATTTTGTCCAGTCATTCGCATACTACTTATTATCAAATATTTTACCAAAACCATCAGGTCAAGTTTGTTGCGGTTAGTAGCATCTAACCCACTTACAAAACAGCGAATCATTGCATTGATTTTTCATTGAATTGGCTCTGAATGAGCTGTCCATTCAATGGTCACCCGATGTTGCAACTGGTTATTATGAGGAATATATATATAGAGAGAGATCAATAACTTGTAAGTTATTCATCCATCAAATCAAGTGCATTAGAATCAATCTACAGTTACGTCATCTAAGCCGTGTTAGGACTCATTCCAATAGTGTTCGTCGATCGGACCTACGAAAGTTCCAAACACAAACGTTTCGCGTTTGGCGTATCACACGCACACACACACACACACACACACACACACACACACCGCCGCCAGACTATTCGAATCGGCTCTCTCAGTCAACGTCACGGGAACAACGACATTCGACGTTGACTGCAATCGTTTGTTTGTTTCTTGAAACTCGTACATAGCAACAATGCCCATCTCTGACCATTTGAACTAATGTTTGATATTTGAGTGATTGCAATTAAACCGCCTGCTGTCTTGTTCCCTCTTGAGCACCGACTGAAGATAGATGAGCCACTTGTATGTATCTAATTTCACAACGAGGATGCCCTCTGTAATCGATCACACAGAGAATGTGCCATTCGCATCGGATTGGCATTCATTTTTCCCCTCATTTTGTCAAAATTCCAATCTGGATGTGATGAGCAAAATTTCCAATTGAGGAAGGGGGTGAGGGTTCTAAATAGACACAAAAGTTCTGAAAGTGCATTGAACCACTCAAACCAATTAGAGAGCAAGTAACTAGTCAAATCAAGTCAAGGAATGGCTTTATACACCCCTTTATACACCACATAACCATAATGTGTCATCATAAAGTGGGAAAAAACAACAGTCGCAGTATGATATAGCAACTAAAGGACGTGAAAAAGGACAGGAACATCAAAATCAATGGCATACCCGGGTGTATAGAATGGATTCAGTTTAACATTTGGCACAGATTTCCTGTAACAAGTTCATGGTTTGTTAGAAATCTGGCCTGTAAGCTTCAGTGCGTGTCTTTAAAAATTTGTGAGTGGAACAGGTGAATGAGTGAGAAAGGCAGTCGCTAAGAGAGGAATAAAGAGGATGAGAGATATCAGATAAAATTTTGTTGGAGAATGTTTTACAGGACTTGAAGTGATGTGTAACCACATACTGTACTAGATGTTCCCGTGGTATGAGACTACAAACTGACAGAAATTTGAGGGATCGGGAAATGAGTTTGAGGTCCTTGTTCAAAAGACCANGGAAGATAACAGGGGACCCATAAAGCCAGTGAGACAAAGCGCACGCAAAAACAAAACGCCTTATGAGATGGTTTGGAATGGAAAGTGATTTAAGACGTAAAACATAAAACGTGAGCCTTCTGACCTTCAGAAATACGTCATTGACGTGGTCAGACCAGGTGAGGTTACGGTTGAAAATAACGCCCAGGTAATTGACAGACGGTTGTCGTTCCATCTGGTCACTGAGGATAGATAAAGGCGGGCTGGTGTTTGCTAATTCATCATACTTTTACCCTTTCAAAAAAGAAAAAATTACGTCGTTATATTTCTTTAGGGTTCATGCAGAGGTTTCTTTGTTGTGACCACTCAACTAGTTCAGACACGTCTTCTTGTTGGGTCGTTTGAAATGATGAGTTGAGGTAGAGCAGTCCGAATATTATATCGTCTGCAAACTTGACGAGAAGGGAAGAATGGCTCACAGGCATAGAGGAAACGTAAGCGGAAAACTAAACAATTATGTTAATCTTCATTCAGTGAAATAAATATCGTTCTGTCACAACCAAGATTTTCAATATTTAATGACACTGACAGCAACAAAAACAACACCAACCAGCACCACCACCACTTTCATTGTATTTACCGAGTTGCAAATGCGTATTCGTTTGACAGGATGCAGGGAGGGGTAGCGGGGTTGTGAGAACTGTAACATGACAACAGAATAAACTGCCCCCGGGGAGTCAAAGCCTTTAACGGGTTTGTCAACTGTTCATTGCAAATTAAAAAGACACCAAAATAGGTGCTAGATGATACTTCAAACAAACTTCTCCTATTGGGGCTTATCAGTGCCTACCGCGCCAGTATAGAGCTCTTTGAAATTTTGCTCACTTTCCAAAAAAAAGATGTTCCTTATTTGTTCCTTAGTTTTCCCCGCAGGTCCTCACACTCGTATTGTGCACTGATTGGTTCAATTGCGGTGGAATTAAACACAACACTGTTGGTCCATACACACAAAAATTTGACATTTCTCTCCATCCGCGAATTTGGCCCGGGGAAATTAGTTTACTTATACAATTGGAATAGCCATCACACTGTCATTCTACATCAGTAATTTGCATATTTGAAGATCCGAGTTGAACAAGTATTGGTCTACCTCATTGGCTCTTAATAATGAGAAAAAGTACTACGGAATGAATGAACGAAGAATCGCTCATTCCTTTATAGCTAAATGTGTCAAAGTCAGGCTTTTTCTTTAAGATTTCATACCTCTCTCGCTTTCTAATTTAAACTTTAGCCTGTGGGCACAAATTTCATTGTACTTCTATCAAGGTCAATCATTCCGTATTCAATTTACAATTTCTCATTTCCATACAAGGGCAACAGCTGCCAAATTCACTCGGCGTAAAATCTCAGTACTTCAGTCCGGGGTTGAGTGACCCTCGTTATTGTTTATCGACAAAAGACGATGACCGGAAATTTGTATTTTATTGACCTCTGTTATGGGTCTGCATAAAAATCTGATGCACTGTTGAACCGGACACGAATGGTTAAGATATTGACCTGAACACACTGTGTCTACCACAGGTTAGTTAACTGATTGGTTGATTGGTTTGTAATCACACCAGGGACTCATATAGTCAAATCGTCGTTATCACGATTGCGTCCATCATCCCCTCCCGTCCCCATTTGATAATCCGCGTTTCCCATGAAACCTGCAACACGTGATCCCCGAATTCACGCACGAACGAGCGACCATGCGAGCGTGCGTGCGTGCGTGCGTAGCGCATATGTGTGCGTATGTCTGTGTCTGGCTGCTTAGCTAATCTCGTTGTGCCAGCACAAAACAAAGTTCCTGAAAGGATTGATCAAACCGTTTCTGAAAACGATAGAGTGG